ACTGTGCTATGAATATGGGAGGAGATGGCAAGTGATGTAAAACCAAGGCCCTGATTCTCGGAGGTCATGAAATCCCTGCATGGGCATCTTTGGAAAGAGTAGGTGTGGTAGCCCGACGTCTGGGCTAAAATTGCCCACTGTAGCCCTTTTTGATCTGGCCTCCTAATCATCCCCTATACCTGACTGGTGAATTCACTCCTGCCCCTTCACCACCTTAGCTTCTGTGTGATGACCGTACTGGTGCAGAATGGCTGCCGTTCCGTCATCCAGGTGGGCGCTACATGCAGGTAGCGGTTCAAGTGGCTCCTCATTGGTTCTGTAAGGTGCTTTGAGTGTCTTGAAAAGTGCTATATAAATGTAACACTCATTGATTCAACACACCGGTGCCAGCTATTCAGCAGTTTTGATTGCATGGTTTAGGTGTGCTGGCAGCTGGGAGGAAGCAAAAACACGGACTGGCCCAGGGGGGCCAGCGGAGCGGGTTCAGAAATACTGACCTAAACCCTGTGATTCTCAAACACACAGCTCTCAATTAGTTAACCAAAATGACACCAAAACACTGTTAAATCAGCTATTTTAGTAGCAGCTAGCATACAGGATGCATGTATAAAATGCACCAGTATGCATACAGCTTCGGTACAGTCGTATACAATTCAGTAACAGCGTGTGAACCATATGTTCATCGGGGGAGGGGACTCACAGCTGGTGTTCCCCACCGAGTTTGCAAGGAAAATCTTTCACAAAAGAAATTTGCTTCAGTTTAGGGTATCTATACACAAAAATGACAAATCACCTCATATTACTGTATATTTGGCCAACATGACCACCTCATTTTACTGTATATAGGTTATTTATTTGGCCAGCATGAGCAGACATGGCTGCAGTCTGACTACAGCCAGCATACGGTTTCACTGTGAGGCACCTGCGGGGGGCTTAACTCGAACTGAGCACTGCAGCGTCCCACCAGTGACTGCAGAATTAACACTTATCCCATACAGGAAGATATTAAAGCTTCAGACAGGTGACTTGTGACACAAAGAAACGGTTTGACATAAAACAGTATCCCTAGAACGGGAAGTTACAGCTCAAAGAAATTCCAAAGAGACAATCTTTCCAGTAAAGAGTTTATCTTTGATCCTAATCTAAATTGGCTGCCAATTAGTTTTGTGGCATCCTCCATTCCTTGCATTCCTTAGCCATCGCTAAGGCTAACGCAGGCGCCAAACTTGACCTTGTCCATTTCCATTGGTTAAATTTTTTAATTCGACAGCAGGTGTTTTAACTTAATGAACGTGGACTTTCTTAAATAATGTATATTCAATTATATGTTTTTATTGCTAAACATGAACATTTACAATGCATGCCATAGATTGTACTGTGGTTAATCACTTTATTATGCAAGCAAAATTCTGATTTAATTTTTAACCATATATTTTAGCAAATAAACTGTGATTTTCCCAAGGACGCAAAACGCGTCCTACCGTTGGGTCACAACGGTGGGCGAGCCTACCGTTGTAAAGGGAATGGACATATTTACGCCCTATATGTCAGCTTCAAATTAATGCGTATTTGACGATTAGAAATTATGACAGGCTCCTCGATTATGATTTATTTTCAATTTCTAGTTAATAAATCATTTAATTCAGTAATGTGGAATTTAACATAAACTGAATACCATAACATCCCATTGTCGAATTACATCTATTGTACTATTAATGATTTTGCACTGGTATTCGTATTGAATTATTCCATATTCTTACAACAGACATGTTTAAAATGAACAAGTACATTTACTCTGGGAATCATTTTCCGTGCTTGTTACGGCAACGAATCTTCCCAATGCATCGCCTCATTATATGTTTCACACTTAAAATGAATGAGTTGAGCCTTTTGTCGTAGTGAAAACTTACGTCTATTAACCTTGGCAAACCTGTTGAACACGATACATTGGGTGAATATATATTTGCATAACAGGTTTATAAAAATAAAACATATCAATGATATTTGTTTTAAATGCACAAGTATGCTCTTTCCCATTGTAGATTTGTATGGGGGGAGAGATTATGGAAAACGGTGAAAGTAATTTCGATACCTGCCTTTTCATATTTGAAATATATATTTAGTAATCAATGCATACTTTAAAGTATTATGCATTTAAACATTCATACGATGTTTTTCCAATTTTAAGGTAGGCTACTCCCTGTAAAATCCAGGTCCTAATCTCAGTTGGTTGCGTCGAGTCGCTGGGTCTTAATGTATGAAACATGATGCTTCTAAAAGACCACCGTCACATGGTGGAAATTTCCACTGTTTAAGCTCCGCTGTTAAACCAAAGGGGTTCGTGTCCTGCGCGCTCACTTCCCCGCGTCTCCGTGCCGCTCATCTCTGAAACCTGATCAATTAAATAAGGTGGGTCACAATAAAGGTTTCCGATATCCTGCACTTTATTTTTGCGCTTGTTTGCTTTTTAGAACCGTGGGCAAATACTACCATAATCTTTGTGAATGTGCAAAAACCATACTTAGTAATACTACTCATCGATTGTTCGATACAATAAAAATGTATGTACAGTGATCATTGTTGCATAGGCGAAATGGGTATACAAAAAAGGATCGGTCATAAAGGGCGGTTATGCCTGATCACAGTAATATCGATATTCTAACACAGTCGAATATTATATTGCCGTATTGTCATATTTGATTTATGCTATCCAGTATGTAAACCGTGCCTGCGTTAAGGCGTGTTTTAGCTGTAGCAGCATATAGTGCTTGATGCATTTCACTCTTAGTATTTTTGTAATTAAATAAATTTGTATGTCAGATGTTAGCGTTGTTAGTTTGAAGATGGGCGGACAGCAGGCATGTGAAAACACAACAATGCACAGATGGGGGTGTATCAGTAGCGGCGCGTGGTCGCGGCGATTCCGCACACGAGGCGGTCCCGCAACATAGGAAAATCATTGTGAATCTTGGTGTCTGTTTTAAAAACTAATAGAGAGACTGATGCACAAAAATCCCAACCGCCGGTATGTTATAGATTTTTAAATGAAGCCCTTAATGAAATGGTTTGAACATTCACTGCCGTTGCATGGGGGAGGGGGGGGGTCTCAGTGGTGTTTATTTATTTTTTATATTGGACAATTTGTCAAATCACAAATAAATAAACATAAGCTGGAGGTAGTGGGACGTCCATGTACGATCTTTTGGTGACACCACTTGCCTGTTGGTATCTAGATAAATGACTTGAGCAGTACCGCTGCGGGATCGGGGGTGGGTGGGCGCGCGGACGGGGGGGGCTGCATGCTGGAAGATTCTTCTTAAGTCGCGCTTCGTGATTGATGTAGCATTCGTAAGATGATGTACAATTTCTGAATTGCATGCTTTTATGAAATCGTTTTTTTGGGTAGTGTTAGTAATCAATAAAGCATGCAAGCGCACGTTAGCACGCAGTCGTTCAGTGTCAGTCGCTACCCGAAATTGTGTTATAGTAAGGTTGCCAATATAAACAGCTTGACAAAAGCAGTTAGGCTTATTAAGGTTTTAGGAGATGAATATACTCGTACAATACTTTGTGTAATTGTAAAATGACGTTTCCATGCTAGAGCTGAATAAAAGTAACGAAAATGTGTGTGTCAGGTAGCCTAATTACGTCCGCCCTCATACAATCACGTAGATTTTACTATTCATTGCCTCGACTGTCATGTAGGAACTCGTTGGTTTCTGCGGAAGTTCCTCTTTTTCCATACCTCTTTGTGAAGCTCTAAACAAAAGATTTAAACTTTTTTTAATTGCAACATTTATGTAGACTATTGTTGCATGTTATAAACTTAATGCTTTCACATTGTGTTGCACTGAAGACTTTTTTTAAGCATTCAGTTTTATAAATATTCAGGATCTTCAGAAATCTTCAGCTCTAATTTTAGTCAAAATATAGCTTTTTATTGCTGTGCGATTAAAAAATAAAAAATAAACATAAATTCTGAAAGTTAACTTAATTGGCCAGGGTAAGATTATAGAGTAAGAACATAAACAAAAATTGAGTGTACAATTGCTGTTGCCATGAGTTACATCAGATAGTTCACCATGGTTTTCCTATTATAACTAAAAGAAAACTAAAGAAATTGTTATATGACTACATTATGTTGGTGATTTCAAGTGTAACTGTAAAGAGTGGAAAGCATTACTATGCAGTAGAAGGGCTTCACTTTAGCCTAGAGAATGCCAAAATACAGCAAGACGTGGTACTGACGGTTACTGCCTAGCTTAACCCAGCAGAACCCAGAAAGCGTTAGGAAGTGGGCTCAACCAGGTAGTTGGCAGCGCATGATCGTTCTGTCCGCTGTGGGATTCATTTTGTCTTGTTTTGTTTTGCTTTTAGCTGTGTTCCATCGCTGGTGTATGATAATATTTTGGGTTTTTTCCCAAGTGTGCAGAATTAGCAAATTCAAAGCACGTATATGTTTACATTTATTTTCTCCATTTTTTTTACCCAGCGCTAGTGGAAATTCGGGATGCATTAAGATAAGCACTTGCTTTATCTGAAGTATGTGTCGTCAACCAGGACATACCTAGAAATTCTGGGGCCCCTGACAAAATGTCACCTTGGGCCCTCCTGCCCAATTTTATGTATACGTTTTGTATACAAGATCACCTGTCAAGTGCTGGGCCTCCTGACTTGGCTGGGTGTCCGTGCTCCTCCGATGGCCCTGGTTGTCAGCCTCCAACTATATGGGCTGTGGGATCCTACAGCTGATTTAACCCACCTGATCCATTGTGTTTACCAGTCAGAATCTGCAGAAAACATCCTCAGCCAATGAAATACTACCTTAAAAGCTACAGTTAGCTAGATTTAAGGTCTCCATAGGGGAGTCAGTGAACCAATATGATCTCATAAAAACCACCCACAGAACTGGCCAATTGCATACAACCTTACAGCCATTTTTTAGAGTTGGCCATTAGATTGTGGCCTTACAAAGGCCGTCTCCAGATTCAGTTACTTGATTCTTGATTCTCCTCTTAATTAAGTTAAATTTGACGTGAAATGCACCAACACATACATTGTAGCAGTCACATCTTATAATGTAGTAATGAAATATTTCCTAGTTGGAAATTTCACCTATTTATAATATTAATTACCATTTATCCATCTTTAAGTCATGTACTCAGCACAGGGTGGCAGGAAGCTCTAGGCACAAGGCTGGGAACATCCTGGGGCGGATAGCTGTCCATCGCAGGGCAAACTCACACTTCAGGCTATTTAGCAATGCCAGTTAGCATAACTGCCTTTTATTCTGGCCTGCTGGAGGAAACTGGAGTACCCATAGGATTTTGGAGGAGCTTGCAAACTCCACACATGTAAGATTTGATCCACAGAGAACATGGTCTGGGAAACATCATATGAAAATTCTGGCTTCAGAGTTATTCCTTCAGCATCTCATTAGCATATTTCACTGTATATGTTGCAGTTGCATATTGTGCTGATTCTTACTTGTTCCATGGTAACCGTGGGCTTTGTTCGCATGCCAGAGCTGTTTTGCGAGGGTGTGTCCTGACACACGGTGTGCCGGCTGACTGTGGCTGTGACAGGGGTGGTTTCTTGTTTGAGTAACTTGCAGGTTTCTAGCTAATGAGGTGTGCTGAGAGCAGGGTTGGAAGGCCCTGCCGAAATTTCCAGGCCAACTCATTCCCAAAAACTGCACAATGTGGCCCGAAAGCAGCCAAGAATGTGTTGGTTGTATCTGAGCATGCGAAGGGGATATAGTTTTCGTATCTAGAGCTGCACGATGCGTGATGTTAACATCAACGTCGCATGTTAGAAATGCAATTGTAACATCGCAAGGACTGCAATAGCTAGATTAAGACAATAAGTTACTTTTTTGCAGACTCTGTTGTTTTATAAATATCATGATATTTATAACAAAAATTTAAATATCATGATGTGATTTTTTTCCCAGTATCATGCTGCCCTACTAGTATCTGAACTGAGCTGAAAGGGTTTCAGTGGATTTGTGGCACTGCTTGTCAGAATGTCTGTGTTCAGTCCCGTCGTAAACACAGTATCCACACATCCATCTATGTCTGTGTGGAAACCGACCACATGTCACTTTGATGCTGGTCTCTTTTTTTTTCTAAACTAGCCAAATATAGTCAGAAAACCACAAACCTGGCACCCGGAGAAAGGGACTCTCCTCTGCAGTCTGGTTGTGAGTCTGTTACAGAAACAGGTGCAATAGGCTGTAAGTCAGCTGAACTGTGCTGTGCCTTTAAAAAAATGTGGAATTGAAACATTTACATAAATGCAATATTTATTTCATTTTGCTGACAAAAAATGCCTGCATTCATGATTAATGTGAACTATTAGAAATTATTCCTTAGTTTCTTTAATGCACTTCAGCTTGTTATGCTGGGCTTTTTCAGAAGTGTTTTTCAAATGCCTCCCCCAGCATAAGAACATTCCATCGCCCCCTAGTGGTGCATATGCACAGGATGCCCCTGTACTGATGTTGGCCACTTCTGTGCACCCTTCCCCTCTCCCAGCCAGGAGAAACCGCCGCGTGCTTGTTTGGAGTCTGTCCGGTGCGTCCAGCTGTTTCCAAACGAGCCGCTCTAAATACCGCTCTTTTTTTTAACCAAAAGGATCAATCAACAATCGGAAGGTCTGCTTCTCGCGCAGGGGACCACAGCTGAGAGAAACACAGACGTGATGTTGCTGTTCTTAAGAGTGGTTTGCACCAGTACACAGCAGTGACCTCTCAACATATCAAGTGCCTGAGAACAAAAGCTCACGACAGCAAATACATAAAAATCAGACTGTAGTTGAATCTTTAGCTTCCTCCTTTAGATTCATTGTGCTCTGGTAGAATAATCCTGAGGTATTATGAAGGTCTGAATCACTTGTTTGGTGTATGAAGGTGCTCATTCGCCACTCTGCGTCATTAGGGCCCTTTGTCTCCATGTGTGAGTTCATTTATAATTAGACAGTTATAATTAGGCATTAAGTGGCTCTATTGCATATTATTAGAGTTCCTCAGAAATATCATACTTAAATCGACATAAATTATTTTGTATAAATGTGTTCCTGTATGTCCTTGGAACAGTTTGTGATGTTCTTGTGAAGAACAGGTTCTTCTAGTTCTTGTAGACCCAATAGCATGACACAGAACCAAAACAGTTGCATGGAAAAAGCATTTTACGCAGCCCATTCTCCTAAGGCATGGGGTCCAACTAGATGCACACGGCTTTTGCATAAAATGCAAAGATTCCATCACACCTCATAGCAGGCATACTTCACATGCTGATTTTTTTGTGATGCATAATGCATTTATAAGGCAGCGTACAGAAGGGGTCTTCAGACGGCTATGTGACAAAATCAGCAGCTGAAACTAAATTGACAAAACAAACCTGGGTTATTTTTTGCCAACTAGATAAGCGCCGTCCAAAGCCCACTGCGCTCTACAAAGCTGACTTATGTAGCTTCATGCTGAGGATCTTTTCTCCATCTCTACCGACTTCCTTTTTTCTTCTCACTGCTTGGTTAGAGTGACTAGTTATCAGTCTTCAGAAGCATCTCTTACAGATTGAGATGGGAACGTGAATCTAGCTCTGTGTCTTCAGAAAAAGGCTATTAACTTCGCCCATGTCCCTCAATGCTGTGACTTTATTATACAAAAGTGGTCATTTATAGTAGTGCTTTGAGAATCTTCTGGTTCTGATCTACATTCTTCGTGGTGCTAGTGAGTTGGCCTTTGGAAAAAAGCACATTCCACAATCCTGGCTTGTCTTGAGAGGGGAGCCGTATTCAGTAGGCCGTGAAGAGTCTGGCTCAACATTTGTGCTGAACCCGAGTGCTACATCACATCTCCATAGTCGTCATCGGAAGGTTCTCCTTAGAAGAAGGTCTGGTTGGTGTGAGACGGCGGTGAAGCACTTAATCAGCCCGGAGTGGAGGCTTCATCGTATAACCACGGCAGGGAGCTCGAAGTCTCCTCACCACGTCGGCACTATCGGTGAGGTCAGCTGAGCACTGAGCTGACGAGCATGAACGTCCTAAATGCTCTGGTGGGTTGGGTCTTCAGTGAACTACCGATAACACAACAAGACCCAGAATCGCTTCTCAATGTTATAATTAAGAAAGAGAAAAGCAAACCAAGCTGGGGCCTTTAACTCTAGCGCCCCCTTCCACATGTATGTAACTTAGGATAGTGATACATTAAGGATCCACATGAGGAAGTTGATTTCTTTGCCAATTCCATCTTGCTCTCCATGAGACACACAGAGGTGAGAGCAAGTTTGGGGAATCACAACACCAGGTCAGCAAGCATGCAGCAACTCTGATGTCAGGGGGGGCGGTAAGGGCCTCGCTGAGCGGCCCAAAGGCGGCATCAGTCTGTCCGCATTGGGATTTGAACCAGCAACCTTCCAGTCACAGTCACAAGTCCTAACCCACTAAACCAACTGATCCTGTAGGACGACGTGAAAACAGCGTCTCTCGGCTTTGCGATTTCTGTGATAAAATGAGCTGCTGTTTCTCAAGGTTGGCGCAGGCAGGCTGACCCAGCTGTGGTGGAGCTGATAACGTGTACTGGGAGGGTCCTGGAGACAGAACCTCGCTTTGTTAACGTTGCACGGCAAGTTGCGAGGCGACTTCAGGACTGGACTTGGTGCCCGTCTTCATTACAGTAATGCTTCCTACATCTAACATCCTGTTTATCTGAAGTTCTGTCCCAGTGTATATGGTTTGGACTCTTTTTCCGTATTACTGCAGACCGTAATTGAAAACACGGATACAGCTTGGCATATTACTAATTACTTGTATATTGGAATCTTCAGGCGGCATCTGGAGTGCATCTCGTCTCGTTTGCGTGGTTTTGATGGGCAAACTGGTCCCCTCTGTGGCAGTTTGACCTCCTCCTTCACTCGGGGCAATCTACTGTTCGCACCCTGAGACGCTGGGTCCACCCGGCCCCACCTCTTTGGAGCTGCGATACAGGACACGCTGCTTTCTGGTGATACCCGTCCCTCCCCTGCTCTCGGCCACGGGGCTTCCGTGCTCAATGGCCCAAGACATTAATAAGAACAGAGGAGGTTCAGATTCACACCTCTGATTTAGCCCCTTGTAACGGAAAGGAATTGTCTCCATGGAGAGTTATCATGTCTATTTTATTTCATAATTCAGAAATCCTGATGAATCTAACAGTAGACGGGAGGAGTGGTCGGCAACAACTCGACCAAGAGTGACTTGTAGCCTTTTGGTAGCCAGTGAGTAGCTCTCATAAGACTTAATAGAAATTGTGGAAGTAACTCTCACTGTAAATCAGACCCTTGATCTGGAGATTACTCACTTTTTTTTTTTTAAACGATACTGGCAATGACGGCTGAAGAAAAAGATATACATCACTCTTCTTTGTAATAAAGGTCAAATCAGCTTCGAAGCAGAACGGGATCGCATATGATCTTGCACTATCACACGTTCTACCACTTGATCGCCCGGACCGAGCTTGCACATTCTGGACGCACGAGACCTCCACATGTCCACAACAGGAATGGATGGGGACCTTTTAAGCTGTGACTTACATGAAAGCTTCCCGTTAAATGAAGCGCATTAGTAAACACCGGATCGCTAAACCCAACGCTTCTCATTTTACCCACAAGAAACGATTCTTGGAGTTGGGACACTGTAAGATTGTTTACTGTATCATTAGGGATCCAGGCATTTGAGAAACAGAGACGACTGGGACCATGTGGCTCATGGTCCAGATTTGACAAATGCGTGAAAAGGGTGAAAATGAAGGAGATGGTCTTGTCCAAACATGGAGGATCCACGCAGGGAGCCCCCCCCCCACACGGGAAGGAGCCTCCGGACGGAGCCACATGTTGGGGGAATTTGCCACATCTGTGAAGGGGGCCGCGTACACAAACCCAGCAGCGACCGAATGGGTTATGGGGGCTGGCGGCCAGGGAGGTCGGTGTAGGCAATCCGTGTTTTGATGTGAATTAGCAGCATAGCTGTTTGCGGTTATGGGGGAAGGATTGCATCCAACAGACTGTCACTCAAATCTCAGGAGGGGAATTAGCATTGCGCCCCGGAGCTATGGATTTATTTTTCATCACTTCGATTAAACATTTGGCTGTGTAATTGCGTTTTGTAGCTCAGTGTAGGGCCAGCAGGTGGCGCAGTGGTTAACGCCATGGGTTTGCAGACTGTTGGTTGCTGGTTGGGAGGGGCCACACACTGGAGCAATAAAAAATGAAACTGTTTAAATTGGCAACAAGTTACTTTAGATAAAACGGTTAGCTAAGCAGCTAAATGTATATAAGTCATAAGCTCTATCTGGTGCTTTTTAACAAAACTGCATTGAGCAAACGGACGTGAGTAAAGAATGCAGTGCATTGTGGGCAATGTGGATAGAGGAGTTCATACTCAGGGAGCACCTACACAAGCAATCCTGTCATGTCACTGGGGGTTAATGGGTGGAAAACGACATATGCTTTGTTCGGGGGGTAATTAAAATCTGAAATATTCAAGGGTTTTGGGAATGGTTGCAGGTTTGCAGGATTGTTCTTGTTGGCCAGTTAATGTTTTATTTATTGTCGGGCAGATTGAGGGTCACTGTTTAACACTGTATTTGAACTTATCTGAAGTTGTAGCAAATCAGTGACTTGTTCCGAAAGTCCTAAAGAAAGCTTTGTGAATATTTCCCAAGACGCCCAATCCTAGGGGCATGCTGTTTGGCTGCACCGGAGGGTGAGGGGTGTCACGGAGAAATATATGAGGCGGGGCAGCGACAACATCTGCTGTTACATCATCGCATTTAAACCGTAGGAAGATACACCCTCTGGCGGAGGCCAGAAGTAGAACGTCAGTCATCCAGAGTCTCCAAGGGTCTCCTAGGCTGAACTTGTGCAGATGGGACCTTTTGGGGTCCTTGGCTGTAACCCGGCAAGAGCTCTGGGGCTCAGGACAGAAGCAACAGTGGCTGGCATGAGTCATCAAAGCTCGTCTTCCGATTGGCTGTCCCTCACTCACTTTCCCACTGGCTTTAAATCTTTGTTTGCATGTGTCTTTCTGCTTCTGTGATTGGCTGCCCAAAGGCCCCTCCTGCATTTTATGAGCGTGTCTGTCTTTTTCTGTCCCAGCTTGCTAGTGCAGCTGTGAGTCTTCCACTCCAGGGCTTTCGACCGGCAGCTTCAACCCGACAGGTACCTGTTCATTTTCTACCTTGAGCAAAATAACTTTGCTTGACTTTATTGCTGTGTTATTACTCATCATTTTCATATTAAGATTAAGAGAAAAAAATTGGGCATTTTAGATGTCTTACGGTGTTGTTTGCGTGTGATCATTCACATGATTGGCTAATTGGAGGTTTTGCACTATGAAAAGCAATAATCTCTAATGAAGCCAATGACAGATTTGAGGTGGAGATCTGGAGCAGAGATTTGAAATAAAGCACAATCACCTAATGCTGTAGAACAGTGTTTCTCCACCTACTTCGTGGGGACCCACTGACACCCATGTTTTTGCGTGGAGTCTCTGCAGATCCTCGAGATTTGAATTGGGAAACATTGCTGCAGAACCATTGTCCAGATGCTTACGAACCAGTACACCAAGCTGGGTGACAGAGTTATTGCTGCTGTGCAATGGCTAAACTCTGGACAGTATGGTTAGCCTGCCAGGTCTTATGTGCTTGGCTTTTTTCACGTGGCTGGCCATTTTTGGGTGCCTGTCTGTGTCTGTGAGCCAGGCTGTACCCATGACCTCTCTGTCTGTGAGCCAGGCTGTACCCATGACCTCTCTGTCTGTGAGCCAGGCTGTACCCATGACCTCTCTGTCTGTGAGCCCGCTTGTGAATAGGACAGTGGACTCTGTTAGCAGCCTGATCCCAGAAATAGCTACTTTGTTCCCCTCTCTGCTTGCTCAGTATCACCGCTCAACGTCCCTTTGCGCAACAGAGTCTCATGATGAGCAGATTATCATCCTGAAAGTGCATCAGGTCAGAATGTTCCTAAAGACCACGAACAGATCTCCACCTCAAATCTGTCATCGGTTTCATTAGAGATTATTGCGGTCAACGTCGATCGTGCATTTCGTAATATCCTCCTGAGACCCAAGGGAAAAGTGTCCTTCAATTTTAGGTTATTTGTCTTTGGAGGAAATAAGACATCTTACAATTTAGATTTTATTTTTATTTTTAATTTCACAGCATGTCGTCTTTAGTGCACAACAGGAATAAATATGTTTCCTTGCATCAGTGAAAAGATAGATGCAAAAATAAAATGTCCACTACAATGGACATAAATGAATGGGTGGGGTCTCAGGAGGATATCACAGCAATATTCAATGACTCAACCCTTCGCTGTGAGCTTAGGTGCACTTCCCCAAAACTTGATTCCTGATCATGTGCAAAGGTGGGCTATTGTGGGTCGCATGACCTGGTTTTAAACCTATGCTCAGGCCAGTGTGTTGGCTGAGAGGGCTGATCGGAAGTTTGCGGGTTCCGATCCCATAATCAGAGGAGCGATGTTTTCGCCGGGTCCGTGAACAAGGCCCACAAACACCTGTAACTCCAGGCATTATCTGTCCCTGCTTATCCATCGCATGTAACTTTGGATAAAAGTGTCTGCTATATAAATATATGTAAATGTACCAGGCAGTATGAGTCTCCATTCTATCTCCCATGTCAGGGTGGAGCTAAGGGTCTGGTTCAGCAGGTTAATCCACACAGGAGGGAGAAGTTTGCTGCGGGCATTTGGAGAGGGATCGAGAAAGTCCATTGTAAATGCTCATTTAACTGGAACCTGGAGGACTGATGTGTGAAATGACCTCCCCCCAGTAAAGATGGAGGAAACGGCTCTCTGTTCATGATCACGCGTGCGATATGCATGGTGTCAATGAGTGCATTTTTCCCCCAGCATGACAGGGGCAAAATAAATAGCCAAGCAGGGGGCCTCGGACTGGTAACTGCCCCACGGCAGCTGAGGTGTGCAAACAGGCATCCCTGACTGAAACTTTTTTTATTTTGCCTTGTACATAACTATCAGCCTTTTTTATTGCGACATCTCCACTGAGTCAGTTATACAATATCGTTCTGAACCCCGCTAGTGAACCACGAAAAGGCTGCATTCGCTGAACTGCTGCGATATGTGTTAAATGAAGAAAAACAGCCTGGGTCTGTTTTTGGCCTACAGCCCGACGCGTACATGTGACGTGCATGAAATGATATATGAACAACGGGAGCAGCTTAACTGCAACTTAAAAAGTCAAGGCAGAGCATGCATTTCTTGATAGCGATGTTTTTTTAAGCGGAAGCCGGCATGTGCAGGCAGACCGGATTGGGTTGGGTTCCTTTGTAGTACATGACTACAGGAGATGGATTTATTTACAAAAATATGTGAAAGTCACAGTTAGTCAGCAAAGAATGCAGGCTGGATTGGTACCATCGATGTATCAATGGTCCTTGAACCTTCGACAAGACATCAAAATTATACTATTCCAGCATTTATTTATCAAGTTTACTCTTAACAAAAAGGGAAATGTGGGTTGTAATTTCACAGCTTGCCCACTAATCTATCTGATTATTTTAAAAATCAGTTAAGATTAAGAACTTTGCTAAAGGGGATGACAGCCGAACTTCTAAGGACCGCTGAGCTGCCTGCTGATCCTCCTGAAGTTCTGTCCTTAGTCATCAAGGGCGGTGGTTGCTTTGTGTTGTCCGTAGAGCTTGGTATCTGCTCAACGGAAATCAAGGCATCCAACACCCCGTCCGCCCTGAGGGACTCCAGCATAAGCGGGCTTTTTGGTCCAACGCCCTGCTGCCCGTGAGAGAAGCCACCTTAGCCAGGCTTTGCGGTCCAACAGCTTGTCCTCCGTGGGAGACGCCAGCTTAACCAGCCTTCGGGTCCAACCCCTGTACTCTGCAGGAGGAACACAGGCAATGGAGCGTATGGAGCTGAAGAAGGTCCGTACCGACATGGATGATGACAGTGCGGACAGCCTGACTGATCCATACACCGAACCCAGCAGCTCTGAAAAGACAGCGATTAGCAGGTGAGTCCTCACTTGTTCCTGCTGTTGTGTTGCGTTAACAACCTGAAGTGTCCCAGCTTGCATGCATGAGAAGAATGGTCAGTTTGCTGGCCATGAGACCTGGGTTGTTTCTCAGTACCAAGAACGCAAAGATCGTACTTGTGGTCTAGGCAAAACGGGTCTTGCTAACTTCTCAAGAATATACTTGGAGCGCAGTGAATCATGGGATTTATCTCATTTTGTGAGGATGCAACCAATGCATCCATGATATTTGGGGCATGAACACCATCCAGAGATTTTTACCCTCCTCTGTACTTCTGTTCCTGAGTATTGGGACTTGTCATCGGCGATGGATGATGACGTAAAACGGGTATACGAGAACACAAGTACGGTCGAGTACGCACATTGAGAAGCAACCTTGAGTTTGGAGACTGCCAAACACGCAACAGTACCATTTCCATAGCGGGACAGAAGCAGCAGTGTGAGGGCAGCAAGTTCACTTTGAGTTCCTGAACTCAAGCATGTCACCCCCAGCACCCGTGGCTGAGCTGAGCGCTCACACACTTCGGCGATGCCATAAATTACATACCGCTTGGCATTGCTAGTGAAAACTTCTACAATAAAATCCAGAGCGAAAGCACATTCATACATGTGACACGTGCTGTCAGTAATATTGAAATGCTTGTTGCTTTGGGTTTGGTCCCATTTCCCTTTGATGTTTTTGCCCGAAAGCACCTGAAGGGCCTCTTCAAAGCTCTCAGCACACATGATCCCTCAGATCTGAGAGGACACATCCAAATCTTCCCATTTCGCAGTCGGGCCTAAGGATTTTTCCACTCTCTGCTTTCCAGTCCATTCGGTGACGAGGAATATCCGGAGAACCAGAAGTTTCTCAGCAATGGGATCACGAAAACACGGAAATACGAGGAATTCCATGAAGATGTGAGTCCCGCCTCCCGAATCCCACGTCATCATACATGCATCACCTGTCCAAAAACATGGTGGGACACAGACCTAACTATCCTATGTCTGTATGTTCAGGAGCCCGGGCATATCTCCTTCGGGATGTCTGTCTTCAACTTGAGCAATGCCATCATGGGCAGTGGCATCCTGGGCTTGTCCTACGCCATGGCCAACACGGGCATCGTGCTCTTTCTGTGAGTGCTCTTCTCTTCACGTCCGCTCTTGGCAGACATCTGCAGGGATGCACCACTCAATATACTCGTTTTGCCACAGATTTGTGTAGTGAGGCCTATTTCAGTGGTAATCGTTAGCATCGATGGGCTACAATGCTAACAGCATGCAGAATTCCAGGGATAAAAACACACGGCCAGCCCAACTGACATCAGACATTTTTTGCTTCTAGAAAGCTCCTATGGAACAAGTCACTAGCAGTGGCTGGATTTAAAAAGGGCCTCCAGAATGGGAGGGGAGAATGGGTGGGGGCCACGGCTGTCGGGTGTAATTTAGGATGGCCTGAGGGACACACTGTCTCATTCACAATCAATGGCATTTGGCTTCTAACTGAGGAGAAGGTGATCAGCACGGGCTGGGGTAGGGCTGGGGGGGGGGGTCAGCTTTGCCGTGACTGAACTGAGCAACTGGAGGTTCTGCTTAGTCACCAAGAACACCAGACCCTTACTCTGTACTGCTAATTGTCAGGGGTATGGGGGGGGGGGTACTGTTTTTTTTTAGAATGAGATCCTAGTCTGTGAAATTTTTCTTTAATTTCCACTATTGGACATTGTTTTCTTGGAGAGTGAGAATACCAGAGATTTTTCACTGATGCACGATGACTCTGCAGTATTGCAGAGCACCAAGTGAATCCGTGAATGGCCTCCGGAATTTACATTGTGGAGGGGGCGGGGCCTCCAGAGACCCCACCCCCTCGATCCGAATACTTGAACCCAGATTTATGACTGTGAGGCTGCAGGTTTAAAATCTCTAAGTTAAGTATTTAATAGCCTCAGATTAAAAAATGTACAGCTGTTCTGACAGGCTAAATGCATAGCTCTAAGCAAATATTTTAGTAATTTGTAAGAATACTAGTACTGACTTTACATTAATGAACTGGTAAAGACAGATAAAGTGTGCTTATTGGTTAAGAAATCCGATAGGACACCTCCAAGGCACTTTGTTGTTCACCAAACTGATAACTGCACACTGGAAATGATAAAAAAATAGCTATTATTTTTTTATTGAAAATCATTATAGCAATGCTGTATGCTAACACAGTGTGGAGCCATTACAACGGTTCCTGTCATTCAGAATTAACACATTTGCTGCTTATTTTCTATCCACTGATCTATTTTGCCTGGAATGTGTCCCATGGACAAAGTGGGGGCGTATATGGGGGCGTGGCCACAGGGACACCATCCCCAGCTGAAAGTTGATGAACCCCCCAAGAGAGCCCCCTCCCCTGTCACTCATCGATTCAAAACATACTATTGACTAATGATTTGGTTGTCACGTCTTATGCCCCCGCCCCCCACCACCACCAAAAAAACACAATTCACAATTCAAGGAACACCAGTCCATCGTACGGCAAACAGTCACATACACACACTAGGATAAATGCAGAGAGACGCAGGTCGACGTAAACCACATTTTCACACTCGGGTGGAAGCCAGGCTACCCAGCGGAAACCCACATGAGCCGGGGGTGGGTGGGTGGGGGTTGGGGGGTAGTGTGTGCAGATACCACCCACACAGAGCATTGAGCAGAACCCAAGTGTAGGTGACATGAGGCTGCAGTCATAGCCACTGAACCACCTCACATCCGGGACACTCAAGTGCTTACCGTGCCTTTTCCTTCAGGCGAGTGAATGCAGCACATTCCTCCTCTCCCTTTCAGGGTCTTGCTCCTGGCCGTGGCCGTGCTCTCCCTGTACTCAGTTCACCTGCTGCTAGTGACCGCCAAGGAAGGAGGTCGGTCTCCCGCACAGTGGCGCTATCTCCTCTGAATGCCTTCTCCTGTTTGTTGGCCTCCCGTGGAATTTGAGCCCTCCGCCTTCCGCAGGTTCCCTCATCTATGAGAAGCTGGGGGAGAGGGCTTTCGGTTGGCCGGGGAAGATAGCAACGTTTGGCTCCATAACACTGCAGAACATCGGAGGTGAGGCTCAACAGCTGATGTCTGAACCGGAGTCCCTGGTTACTCCATATTGATGCTGTAATATTTATACCACCCATTGGTGATTATTTACTGATTACTGGTTATTTTTGCCAACATTTATGTCAATCTGGCTTTATCGTTTTATTTTCATTCATTCTCTCATTCATTCATCTATTCATTCAATCATCTAACCCCCCAGTACCAAGCTCCGACTGGATAAGGCATTAGCCTTCAGAGGTGGGGATTGTGGGTTGGAGTCCCCTCTGGGTTATAAACAACGTGATTGTTTCATCGTACAATGATGATAAAGAAATTCTAAAATTCTGTAATCACAAATGCCTTTGTGCAGTGACCTGTTAATGGAAGAGTCGTTATTTTGTCTTTGTCTGTATTCAGTAGCGTTCTGTCTGTTTTCCTGCAGCCATGTCCAGCTACCTGTTCATCGTGAAGTATGAACTGCCAGAAGTCATCCGGACCTTCATGGGTATGGAGGAGACCACTGGGTAAGACATCAGATGCATTACTCACAGTCCATTCATTCTTGCACGACTGATCCAATCCAAAAGCAGAGCTGTGTGACACACATTCCGCAATAGGGTCAGTGCCACACAAGTCCACGTATCAGCTGATACTCTACCATATGGAATCTCACATGCTTCAGCATTATCTATTATACTGTTCAAATAAAGATGATGTCATAATGAAATAAATTAATCAGGGAATTTAGGTTACAATTTACTTAAGGCCGTGTTTTTCGTAATTTATAAACACATTCATAATACATTATAATGCATTCATGAAGCATTATGAATATGACTATAAATATTTATAAAAAGACATAACACATTATAGCCATGTTTATTATGCTTTATGAATGCATTATTATTTGTTCTGAATGTGTTTATAAATGACTAAAACATGCTCTCAAGTAAAGTCTTACCAGAATTTGTTTCTGATCAAGACCCTATCTGCTGTCCCACCTCTGTTGCTCAGTGAATGGTATCTGAACGGCAACTACTTGGTGGTGATTGTGTCTCTGGTCGTCATCCTGCCCCTTGCACTCCTCAAAAACCTTGGTAAGCCGCCCGCGTTTCACTGCCAGCAGCCCACCCACTGCCTGTGTCGGCCATGTTGGCCTTAGTCTCATACCCTCTGCTGTTTCCTGTGCACAGGGTACCTTGGATACACCAGCGGCCTTTCCCTGTCCTGTATGGTCTTCTTCTTGGGAGTGGTAAGTGTTGATTTGGTTTGGAGTGTGTCTCGATTTGAGTGCCGTTCTATTTGCTCTCAGTCCGGTGCTGTAGCGCAGTATAGGGATGGCACACGTGTCTGTTTGGCTTCCCATCTGCACCAGTGGGTATTTGGTCTGCCGTCTCACTCTGATTACATCACAGAAGTGCGACGCTTGCTTTCTACTCACTATGGTGATGGGCTCAAATCGTTGCTGATTCACATCCACCAGACAGAAATACTTAATATATTAGATCACATTAGGTCTATGAACCGGGTAAAAAACATTGGTAGGACATTGAGTTTTAAGTTTAATCAGATTATTATAAGGAAATCTTGGACTAGCTTCTATCAGTGCAACATGCAATTATTGCTGAAATGTTGGATAGTGTGCCTAGTTTAGCTGCACTGTGTGTGTGTGTGATTCTGTGAATTCACCTAGGGGCTTTAATTATGTTGGAACGCAATCACTTGCTGAGGGTTTAGACCCATTTCCGGCAACTTTGCACCCCATGTCTTGACAAGCCACAGTTCAAGTTGACCTGGGGCAGGAATGCTGTTCCTTGATGTGTCCTGTCTTCAGCAATATCGACTTTCTAATTACCTCTAAATACAGCAGACGCTGGGTTTCACCATTATTCTGCTAGGAGCAAGCCGAGTTTTGTTATAGAGGAATGGGATCACGGTCAGGATTTTAATGTGATACTGCCATGTTCCTGACTGGACCAAGGAGGGTGCTTTGAGGTACCCCTGCATACAGTTCTCATAATTTTTGTGTTTGACAGGTTATGGGGAGGGCTGACCATCTTTCCTTTCCACAGATCATCTATAAGAAGACTGTGCTCCCCTGTCCCCTGCCCTTCCTCCATTACGACGCTGTCAATCACAGCCTCAATGGGTCAGAGTCATACCCCTCACTTGCTAGCGAGTCCTTGCATGACCTGCCCCACCCCACAGGGGCGCAGTTCCAGGACGATGGCCACCACCTGGACGAGGACATGTGCCGGCCCAAGTATTTTGTGTTCAACTCGCAGGTACGCATGTGTACATGCATGTCCGGGGGTGCGTGAGGCTGCCCCGACCCCCCCCCCCCCGTCTCGCGTCTTTTCTGACACCGGCTTTGTCTGCTCCCGACACAGACCGCCTACACGGTTCCCATCCTGGCCTTCGCCTTCGTGTGCCACCCGGAGGTCCTGCCAATCTACAGCGAGCTGAAAGAGTGAGCTATCGCACTTTACTTCCGTTCGTTCCCAGGAGGGGGCACAGTCACTATGTGGGCATTGCCCCGCAATAGCGTCACTACACAAGTGGCCCGCATCTCATCATGCATTCCTGTGAATTTGCAGTCGCACCCGACGGAAGATGCAGAGCGTGTCCAACCTTTCTATCTTCGCCATGCTCATAATGTACATGCTGTCTGCGCTCTTTGGCTACCTCACCTTCTACGGTACGCGCCACGTGCCGGGGGCCATCCAGATGCCCGGCGTCGCATTACCATGCACGTGTGCCGGCATCGCATGCCAGCTCTGACACCCTTCTCCCGTCTCGTCCTCTTCCCACAGATAACGTGGAGGCTGAGCTTCTGCACACGTTCACCAAAGTGTACCACTTTGACACCCTTCTGCTCCTGGTGCGGCTAGCCGTGCTGACGGCTGTTACCCTCACCGTGCCCATCGTGCTCTTCCCTGTGAGTGTCCCGCCGTGAAATTATCTCAACGTTAAGTTTTGAAGAAAGCACTGTCACTTAGCTACCTACAACACAGTCGGGTGGACAGCCAATAAACCATGAAGTCCTTTTTCTCAGTTTCACTGTCACCACAGTTACTGTGTTTTGCCTTTGTAGGGCAGTATGGAGTGTACAGTGCCTTCCTGCATTATATATGTGCACAGTGCCTCACTGTGCTGGACACGCCAACAGTGTCATAACTATGCAGTATGCCTACACATATAAACAGTCTAAATGGCATGACCTTCTGTATGTGCTCTGTTAGAGAGGTGGGGGCCCCCAGGGATCAGATTATACAAACCTTCCTGTCCTTTTCTCTCGAGTGATGAAGGTAAACGACCAAAAATCAGGGCTTCCAACGTCACAATAATATAAGCAAAGCGATATTTCTCACATTGAGTCGTTATTTCGGTGTAAGCTTCTCTAAATGCTATAATAAAAAATACGATTGGCCAAGCTCAGCCAGCAGGTTCCACCCTGCTTCCCCCACCGTGAGGGCGACCAGCCAGTGCAACCCTCGCTCCCACGGTGAGACGTATTCAGACACACCTGACGCCATATGGGGGCGGGGGCTAAATATAGAGCCACAGACGCAGGGCGGCCAGGAACAGCTGACGGCCACAAGCGTTCGCGTCATGCTCTACGTCTTTCCACGCTATATTTCTACGCAGACATCAGTTTGATGTTTTAGTTTTTAATGTTTTAAATGTTTCAGTAGTTATAATATTTATCAGTGTTGATCTGTCTTCATCACTATCCAATTTTTTTATTTGCACTATTACGCACTATTACTTCATGTCCTAAAACTCTTTTATTTTGTTAAATAGCAGTTGAATGGGTTTTATATTTTAGTATGTCTTGTTAGTTTTAAATCTCTTTTTTGTACTATACCTGGATTAGCAATAGTTATTTTAAAATGTGTTATAGAATGTCAACTTGACTTGACTTGACTTTTCCCCTTGGGGATTTGCGAGAGGACAGGCCTCAGTAGGGAAAATGTAATTCTGATTTCAAAGCTTCTGCATTTCATGATTCAATAATTGTTTTGTAACATGCATGAATGTAGTGGTACACCAGCCGTGACATGAAATTGCTGCTACTCCAGACTGTGCAATAATCAACGTAGAAGGATAATAAAATAAAATTAGCACAAGAAAACAAAGTAAAATAAGTGAACAAAATAGTACTAAAAGTAAAGAAATATATTAAAGATACAAAATGATAAGAAAATGCGAAAAAATTAATGTTCCGGTTGCAGTTTTATCTTTTTTTACTTGGTGGAATTAAATAATAATAAATTAATGATTAATAATCCTAAAGGGCTGCTTTTTTAGCTCTGTCCAGAAGGTTCCGGATGCGCCTGTCTGAGTGCAACGTATGGAACAGTTCAGGTCATCAGTGTAGAATGTCTATGATAATGCTTAATGCCCTGGACCTACATCGTTGGATGTAGATGTCCTGCAGGGTGGGTAGTTCTGTCCCGGTGATTCTCTTGGTGCACCGTGTCGCCCTCTGCAAGACTCTGCGCTCCTCGGAACCGCAGTTGCCATAACGGGCAGTGATGCTCCCAGAAAGCACAGACCCCACAGCATTTTCCAAAGTGCACCAGCGGCGTGTAACAGACACAATCATGGTCTTGATGTGGATGTAAGCAGAGTGTCTTGCTGTCACTTCCTTGGTGAGTCATGGATGATCATGACAAAGGTAGCCCAATAGGTGGTGCTGATGAGCTAACGGGAAGCCATCTTCATCTTCAGGGTATAACAAGCCAGTGAGAGAAACAATGAAATGTGTCCTCTTCATTTAACCCATAGGTGACATCATGACATAGCAGGGGGCAACTAATTCAGCGCCCGGGGAGCAGTGCCTGGGGGCTGCGCCTTGCTCAGGGTACCTCAGTGGTGCCTTGCTGGTTGGGGATTCAAATTAGCAATCTTTCAAATACAAGCACACTTCCCTAACCATCAGGCCACCACAGTCCATGAAAGTGCACATGTCCAAGAGTCATTAGCGACTGAATGGGAGTACAGAAACGCACATGGAAGCGGTGCCTTGAAAGAGCAGGGGTCAGGGACAGGGAGACGCCTGCCTCGGTGGGATGGGACAGGGTGTCCTGGACCTCAGTGAGCCGTCTGGGTGCGGGGGGTGTTGGTTCCGTCGAAATACAGCCTTGTGTATCTGAAGCGGAGTAGTAGTGTTGCTTAACTAGGTCAAGGGTTAGTGGCCATAATGACAGAAATATGAGATTAGGCTGAGTCTGATTATTGTTACTTTTAAAAAATGTTTCTTCAAAATTCCCTGGAAAAAAATGTGTATAAAAGTAATTTTGGATTTTTAATCTAATCAAAAAGCAACAGAGCAACAGCAGTTCCTTTTTTTATTTGAGCATAAATGATCTGCAGACTTATCTTTCAGAACAAATACACTTTTTCTGAACACTAAACAAATCCTGAGGATCAAAACATGACACAGGAAAACTTTCTGGGCCCAGAAACCGTTTACGTTACTACCCTCTCATTACTGTCTGATGCAATCATGCAGCAGGGTTGCTCTACTTGTGTCTGGGTGGGCGGAACTCTCAGACCACACCCACAAACAGTTCCCTGGCCAATCATCTCGCTTTTGTTCATCCCCAGTCCCTTTGGCCTTGTGACCTTTCACCCCCTCGTGTAGAAGTGGTGAAAGGGTCACATTCTTAGTTTTTTACAAGCATCTTTGTCTTTTATGCTGTAGATACAATTATTTTTCTCTTTAGCTTGAGAGTATACTGAGGTACAAACAAAATGGAATATAAGTTTCGTATTTGTTTAGCAAAGAATTTTATTCAAAATAAAATATAACAGACGGCATCCCTGGGGAAATTGGAGGCAAATCCAGGACCGGCTAAGGCACACACCTGCCAGGTTCTGCACAGTTTTACATATTGCAGGATTTATTTTCATTTTGCTGAGTACTGGTACAGAACCAATTAAATGCAGTTAGCATCTTAACAGGTGTAACAAAACAAACAACAAAATGTATACAAATGCCATAGTACAATAAAATATAAATGAATTATAAATAAACACATAAATGTAGGGCTGTATCAAAAAATTAGACTGGAAATTGCTCTGTAAATTGTCAAAAATTTGCAGAACCTGGATAACAGCCACTGGCTTTGTTTCATTTTAAAACGCAACTTAAAGCCAAAAATGTCTATACCTTTAATTTCTCAGTTTTTGTTATGGGTATATCCTTGTCCTTAGCATAGCAAGTTGTTTGCAAGACATTTCAACCAACAAATGTGATATTTTTTTTGGGGGGGGGCAATAATACAAATCACAAGAAGTCCTACATTGACGTATAGGGCATACAGTTTTCTACCAAATCAGCAGATTTCTCCACCCATACATGATCTGACATCACTTCATTGTGACCCAAAAAACGTTCCTCATCTATTTTTGTGATACTGATTGAGGGATCCTCTCATTATGCTTTGTGTCTTAGATTCGATCCTCGGTCATAATGCTGCTGTTCAACGGGAGAGAGTTCAGCTGGGTTAGGCATGTACTGATAGCAGTCGCCATCTTGGCCTTCAACAACCTCCTCGTCATTTTCGTACCAACCATCCGGGACATTTTTGGCTTCATTGGTGAGTCGGTGGGTCCTCCTTCACGCTGAAGGAGAGCAGAGATGAGAAAATGTACTGGAGAGGTCCTCTGTAGAGAGGGTGTGTCGTTCCTCAAAATCTTCTCCCTTCTCAGGTTCTTCGGCGGCAACCATGTTGATATTCATTCTGCCTGCTGCCTTCTACCTTCGACTTGTCAAATCCATCCCTTTAAATTCACCTCAGAAGATCTCAGTAAGTCTCCGCTATCTTAATTTGTAAACTTAAGGCCAGGAATATATGGGGGGAGAAATGTCACAGCTGGAATTTCTGTTTATTTATTCATATTGTTTTTCTGCAATGTGAATTCAAGAGCATACAGCTTTTAAATTTGATCAGTTATACAACTGGAAATTCTGCCCTTAAGCACTTTGCATGAGTGTGTCTTCTTCTTGGATTTGGACCTGCTAGCTTTAGCATATAGCAATACATGGATTGTCACTGACTACTCCTGCTTCTTAGTTAGCACCTTTCCTGATGAAATGAGTTGTAAAGACATGCAGGGGGTTGCCATTGTCATGCCACTCTTGTCTTTTCTGCAGGCAACCATATTTCTTGTCATGGGCATTGTCTTCATGGTCGGAAGTCTGTCGCTAATAGTCCTGGACTGGGTTCACAACCCATCGGGCTCCAACGGGCATTGAAACCTGCAGGCTCTGATGCGGCCGGGAGGGCCAGGGACTTGGTACAAGCCCCCCTCTCGATGGGTCCGATCCGACAGGGCCCCCGCTGGACTGCCGCAAGCTGGAGCCTCACGCTCACTGGCTGGTTCCATGGCTGAACATTTGTGTACTACAGGGTCGTTTCACTACACAGCCCAACAGCATTAGAGAGATGGGGCCACCACTATGCCCCCCACCCCACCCCCCCGAGAGGAACACTTTTTCGGGATAAGTGCCAAAAGCAAATCCGTCTCGCAAGAACAACCCTTGAACGTGAAAGACTGAGAAGTGTATCCGGAGACTGACCTTCTGCAGATGGTCTCGCACGAGCCTCCGGTGCACAGACGTGCCTTGCTGATGTCACGCGCGTGCCCCCAGACACCACCAGATCAAAACGAGTGACCTCTGCCTCGCCAAAACTTACTCGGAAAGGACACCAAGCTGTAAAAGCCACTCAGAGTGTGATGGTCAAACCCTCACTTCACGCGGCTGGTGACATGGATGGGCAGTCAAGGATTCGCTCATGCACTTGAAGGAAGGAAGGCAACGGATGAGCAGCACTTTCATCTTGCATTTTTTTCCTTTGCGTTTTCCACAGAACAACGGGCAGGCAACATCGGAACCGATCCTGGCATCCTTTACTCTAATCTAATCTGTATCAGCAGGTTTCCACTTTACAATGTTTCCTTTTGCAAGAACGCAAGAATCCCTTCCTCAAACTGGTATCTGAGGCCTAATTGTTATTATTTCCAAGAATTCTGAGAAGTAAACTTTAGTTTTAGCCAATGATGTTTTAGTGAGGACAAAAAAAAAACATCGTTCAGTATTTTAATGAATTTTTGTATTTCGTTTAGATTGACACACACTTATTATGATCAGTACATATATAGCTATTTTTATAGCTAATTCTGGATTTATAGTGGGCTTAGTTGATCTATTTCTATTGAATGTGGAAACCAGAAAGATAAAGTAGCAAGGCAATAGTAGTGCTAAATCATTTTGTTAGCTAATTAGGTACATTGCAGTCATTTTATGCAGCTGATTATCAACCACATAGCACACATCTACTTATTTACAATATTTTTTGATTATTTTCTTTGAAACATCCCACAATTCAGAATGTAAACTTTTGTTACAAGCTGCTAAAGGGAAGCATAGAGTCTGTTAGCATCATAGCTTTTAGTTTCAGTACATGCGTTTGTGGTTGAGCTTCTGTGCAGCAGGATTTGATTCACTGTAATACCATTTATAGCGTCACTGAGTGTCACACTATGTACATGGAGCACTGAGATATTCTGAGCATGTGGGCTACCTCATGGCGAATTCGGTCCCTGAAACTCCTCGTAAGAGCTTCGACTCCCGACATTTTGCCAGAGTTATTTTCTGGCTTATTTACGGTATGTCACTTGAGAAATTTCCAAGAAGCCAGTGGTTATTGCTGGCTGCTACGGATGTCTACAGACTACAGACTGTGGATGTTGTATTTGGAAAGGTTTCCGCAAAGGTGTCCTTGTTTCCGTGCCGCCCTGAACAGCCATTATATGTATGTGTGTGTGTGGGGGGGGGGGGGGTGTATATATATACTACATTATGTGTGTGTGTGTGTGTGTGTTAATGCTAATGTTACATCTTCCATACATCAGTTTACATACCCTTAAGGGAAGAATCAGTTGTATCAATTTTCATGATATTAGAATATTCATTTCTTATCGCCCCTCTACTAATAAATAATTGAAATTGAATTGCTGTTTAAGGATAAATCACCTAATTGAAAATGGTCATTTTCAACAGATAAACATTTTAATATTGAAACGTGCCTTGTCAAATACCCACAGAAAAAAGCATATAGCTCATGCAAAGTATATATTTCCTGGGCTCTATTAGTGGCTGTTGCTTTGTTAGTCATTATAGTGCATGACAATATATGTCTTGTCAAGAAAGCGTGAAATAATACTTAAAGAACTTTAAATTCATTCGAGCTACCCGGAGTGGAAGGTGTTTACCAGTCTCTTGCGGATCATCATATGCATGCAACAGGATATTTTCAAATGAAATGATTCGGTATTGTGTTCATGTACTGGCTCGCACATGTGGTCAATTTTCAAAGTTGTAAATGTACTGTAAATATCAGACAGTGTCTGGCACATATTCAATTTTTGTGTGGGAACAAGTGTGCCTCACGATTTTTCCAGTTTTTTTTAAATTTAGATTTCAATATTACTGTAGTTGTTTTCTAAATTATTTATAACGCAATTTTTTCAGAACACTGCGTACTGAGATCAGTTATAAGCTGTTAGATATTGGGGAAAGAGAGTAATAGTTGTTAGCATAAGGAAGAATAGTTTATTTTGGTTTTTTTCCCCAGAGGTCAGGTATTTAAAGGTACGTGCCAGTCTTGACGTAAAAATTTGAATGCGACATCTGCTGATTCTTGGCCTTGGTCATAGGTATGTGTTTGCCTTGTACAGTTAGTTCTTAGTGCAGTGGAGACCAGACAGGCAAGGTTAATCCCAAGGGCCTGGAGCAGCACCAGCCGGCTGTGAGGCGTCAGAGTGTTACGGTCTGTCGCGGTGGATCTCCACTCTCTCCCACTGCAGCATTTCAAGGACTTTGGCCATTCCCTTCCGTGCCATTCGGGGGAGCACTCAGATATTCTAGGCCCGGTTCTACTGCATGTCGACCGACACAGAGGGAGGATGTCGACACATCTGCGTCACGTCTAGAGGATCTCAAACTCGGTTGTATATTTTCCAGAACAAAGATTTTTTTTTGTATCATTGAAGTGTTTTCAGTAAGGTGAACTATGAACAATAAATGTGGAAAAAAAAATTGCGTCCTGCTTCGTGTACATGTGCATAGAACAGGCGGTGGGCTGGGGGGGTCACATTTTTGTTCAGTGTGCCAGTTAACTGACAGATGGGGGGTGCGAGCAGAAATAGAGGATTCTCCCCGATAAATCATCTTAGCATGTTGCTAACTTGGTCCATTTTGGCTGACAATTCCTCGTTCACCATCAAGGGCACGACAGCTGAGACCTCCTGATTCCTTTTCTCCAAGAGCACCGCTGGGTCCTAGTGCCACCGAGGTTTGTCTACTTGCATCCCGATGATCCCTACATTGCGCAGTGACTCTTGGTGTTGTTGGCCTGGATCAAAAGGCCTGCTTCCCTGGACTGTTATTTAGCTAGTTGCCAAAACGCCCAGTATGTCCCTTAACATACCAGAAAATATAATCATCTCAATACCTTTTATTTCTTGATAGTTAAACGCATGCAATACTACTTATTTTATTTTAGTTTTTGTTCTGCAGTTTGGACGATTTCATACTGATTATTATTACGGGACTTATTTAGCTACAAGAGGGATGGCACTAAATTGGTTTGTCAGTCCAATGTTTTATATACTAAATCAAGGCATGTTTTTATTTCTTATTTATAATCAAGATCTTGTATGATAAGAGTATGACGTTTCAGCAACGGATATGTTATTCTACCAAGCCTTTGCTGTACGGTACTGGTTAGCGCTCGTGCTAACCAGCTGAAAGCGGCGGAGAGAGGAAGTCCAAGTCGCCAAGCCTCGCAGATGCTGTTACCAGTATTCACTGTATATGCACATCTTCCGGCAGTTTCCGGATAATGTCTGAGGTGACTGGGTAGCTCGTTTCTGCACGCACTGGGAGTGAAACAGTATTAGGCAGGAGCTTCTAAATATATAGTCACTGCTTCCATAAACTGGATTTTAATATGTAAGATCACAAGAGTATGATTGTATTTGTCCGAACTGAAATATTTCATGGATTGAAGCAACTGCAATTATCAGGGCATTTGTCTAAAAGGTTTTTGTTATTTTAGCAGTAAAGGAACATAAAGTACAATTTTCACTGTGGGTTGATGGATATATTCTGTACCAAGGACCAGATAAACCTCGGGGTCAGATGTGAAAATAAACAATGTAATGAAATGCACTCGTTCAAGGTTTCGTTTTGATTGAATCGATGACGCAGGCGGCAGCAGTGGATCCAGCCTTTACCTAACTACGGCTTTCAAATTCCAGCCAGGTCTTAGTCAAGACTTAAAGTTGGGAGGAGGAATAAAATTCCGATTGCTGAAAATCCCTTTTCCATTCATGTTGTTAAATTATCTAAGTGATGAAAGTTGTATAAAGCGACACTTGTATGTTGCGTGAAAACAAAGTCGTTACATGAACAGTGTGGTCTCTCTATTTACACTCTAAAAATATCTCTATAGGCATGTTATCAATGTATAAGGCTCTGAAGTACGAAGTACCTGAATTTGTTCAGGTTTTGTGGACTTTCTATATTTGCCATTGTGTTGAGTGTGAAAATGATATGCTGGCCTACACACACATAGATGTGAGGTGGTGCTTTCAAATTCAGACACTCCCCAGGTCTGTGTCATGTTTCACCTTACTATATTTTCGCCTTTCGGTAGGTTTATCGTTTATAAGAAAGCCGGGTTACAGTAAATAGGCTTAATGTCTTGCCCAACAGTGAATTCAATATGCCGTTCCTAGGATTCAAACCAGCAACCTTCTGACAGGTACACTGTCCTAACTCTGCAACCTCAATATAGTCTGCCTACTGTGATGTCATGTGCAAACCCGCAACTGACTACTCAGTCTAGACAGGAAGACCCGCCCAAAGGCATTTGATTGACAGCTTGGCCATTCGAGCAAAAGCAAAAGCAATAGGTATAAAGCAATAAAGAAAAGCATATATTTTTTATTTCATTTCTTTATGTCATTTCTTATTCTTTTATGGCAATCCTATGACTCCATGAAGGACATCCCCCAGACCTGGATAAGCAGTTAGAAAAAAACTGTGGATTGATTGATTGATTAATTAAGGCCGAACCTTTTCTTCTACAACTTTCTACACAAGTGGTCGCATTGTCTCTGTTGGCAGTTCTGTGTCAGCTTGCAGCTGCTTTCTTTTCTGGGTTTTTATTGCCCTGATTGTGGGATCCGTGGTGGTAATGCAACCCAGGTCCTCAATGAACTACTGAGGATAATTCACTGCAATAAAGTGCCTTCTAGCAGCGGCTTGCATGTGAGGTTCATTTACAGAGGAAGCATTATAAAGCAGTTCAAACAACAGAGTGTAAATCATTAAAACAAGCAAACATTTATTATGACTCTTATTGCCAGTACTACTGATAACATTCCATCTTCTATGGCCACTTATCTAGTACAGGGTGGTGTTCAGCTTGGAGCTCATCCAAGGAAATAAAATATAGAGATATAAAATATACAGGCGACATCCAGAACATCATGACAGTGCTTCGCAGGGCACAGACTCACCCAAACATACTCACTAAATGAGTCACACGCTGATGAATGGTCACATGACCCTTAAATATTTCAGATTATATCGAATTCAGTGCTATCTTATTGGCTAATGCCCCTCATGGCTGTCTCTCCCTGTGATTGGACAGTGTCTGAATAAGCGGGACTGGAAGCCAATGGATGACGTTTCTGTAGTAATGTAACACAGGGCCGGTGTTCAATAAAGACACCATGCATTATTAATCACCACTGTCCTTTGTACCTGCTTCAACACATGAGTGGTCATGTGACATCCTCCAGGTACTCAAATGTCTTCCCAAACACCAAAACCATTTGGTGAGATGAGCTGGTATCACCTGTAGGGTGTGTGTCCTGTGAGGGACCAGCACCTCCTCCACGGTGTCAGTTGCTATGTGACCCTGTGCTGAATGAGTGGTTCAAAGATGGATGGATACATAATTAATAATTAAGTAATTTAACTTAATCTTAAATTATTACTACTCTGTTTGCAATCTGATTCCTTGTTGTCTAGCTCCGCCCACACCAGAGAATGAAA